TGTGTGTAAAAATTCGAAACTGAAAAATGAGTCTACTAGCCGGTCTCCCTTACATCAGATATATCAACCGTTTGACCAGACATCAATTGCTTACAAAAACAACAATATTTGTAGAAGAGATGATCCATTGAATATTCAACTTTAACAACATAAAAAATGGACTCCTTTGGAGAATGATATCAAAGTTGGCATACTGGTACTATTTCGAGAATACACCTCTACAGTGGCGTTTAGGGAGAATTACCGCAGTACATCCCGGAAAAAACTAATTCGGATTGTCAATGTAAGAACTGTGAAGGGGATCCTTCAGCGTAGTCTCCCGAAATGTATTTTGCCGATTGATGTACATATAACGTATCTTATTCGTTCTTTTATTTGTTTTACAAGCCTTTGTCTTGCAATGCTGGCGGGATGTTTAATATTTTATATTCTACAAACACTTTGTTTTTTTTCTTTCCTTTAACTGTTAATTTAAAAATGGTGCCGAGTAAAATGGCACCGAATCTGTTTGAGTTCGAAAGATGAGAATTAGGAACTCTAGCGAAGCAAGCGCCATGTAAACGGGCGATTTACGTGCGTGCGTGCGTGCGTGAAAAATATGGCGCGATTGTAATACGTATCGTTGTTGTGAAGATCTACGAGTTCCTATGTATAAAATCATAGTTCAAATAAAACTACACTAAAACTAGACGCATCAGCTTATCAAATATTTCTCGAACAAAATCCATGTACGATATACGTAGGCTGCTAGAAAAGTTTCTGCAATCAATATGAAAAAAACATGTAAAATTCAGTAAATGGCTTTATCGTTTTCCGAAGTATTCGTCTTTAAGCTCGATACATGTTTGCATACGCTCGAACCAATTTTCGAGGCATTTTTTCCACTCTAAGGCTGTAACCTCAGAAATCAGTGTACGAAATGTTCCAACAGCTGCTTCAGACGACTCAAATCGCTCACCATGCATCTTATTTTTAATGTTTGGGAACAAAAAAAAGTCATTAGGTGATAAATCAGGTGAATACGGATAAGTCATCAATTCGACATTATTACTGGATAAAAAATCAACGGTTTGACGTGCTGTATGACAGTTGGCGTTGTCATGATGAAAGATGATGCGACGATGTCGGTTTGTTCTACGCAATTCATTTATGATTTCTGGTAAACAAATTGTTGTATACCAATCAATATGTACAGTCCTTCGATTCTCTAAAGTCACGGTTGTCACATGTCCAGTATAACCGAAGAAACAATCAATTATTTGCTTGGCAGCACTGCGTGAACGAACAACTTTTGTTGGTTTCGGTTCATTTTGATATACCTAAACAGTGGATTGTTGTTTACTTTCGGGCTCAATAGATCCTTGTTTCGTCCTCAGTAACGATGTTATAGACCAAATTTGACCGACCTTGATTGAATTTCTTGAGCATTTCTTTGCTCCATTTAACACGAACCTCTTTTTGAGCTTCGGTCAAATTGTGTGGGATCCAACTGCAAAATTTTCGTACGCTCAAGTGATCATGCAAAATCGTATGTATTGCTTTCATGTCAATGCCTAAGGATGCCTGAATCTCGCGGTATGTTATATGCCGGTCTCGCTCAATCATTTCACGCACAGTATCAACATTAGTGGCAACAACAGTGGATGGACGACCTTCACGGAATTCATCACTAAGAAAGGTATGTCCACGCTGGAATTCAGAACCAATTATAAACAATCCTATTGGATGGTGCTTCATCCCCAAAAGCCAAATGAAGTCGATCGATGCATTGTTTCAGAGTTAGATTATACACACGCACACGCATACGCACACACACACACACACACACACACACACACACACACACACACACACACACACACACACACACACACACAATAGCGATATGTTTACTCAACTAATCACTTAATGTAATAATAATTGTAAGCATAATCATAATAAATGTCAATTAATTGTAATTAAAAATCCCAGGCTTTCCATCCTATTTTTTTTATTTTACCCCTCGTTTCTTTCCTCCCTCTAATTCTTAAGATCGCACAAGGTCCAGTCCCGGATCAAAAGGATTAAGTTCCTTGACCCAAAAAGTAGGATCGACGTTCGCATCGTCCCCTCAGGAATAGGCGTCATAGCGTCCTTTCGGGACGTTGACCCGCATTCCGGGACTGAAAAAGGTGCGTACAACTCACAGGTTCGCCTCTCCGCGTATATCTGTGAGATTGAGTCTAGCCGTCCTTCCACACCCTCTCCATTTCCCTTTCTTATCTCTTTAACCTCGGTTTTAAGGGTTTGGACGTAACAGATGCATTGTTTCGGAGTTAGATTACATTTGTAATCGTAAAAAATCATTGCCTGAAAATTTTCACGCGAAATTTCCATTTTCTTACAAAATAACTTCTTTTAAAATACTATGCAAACAAAATTAGTTGGCTTGGGTACAAACTGTCAATTGAAATATAGGTTAAAAACGTCTAATTTTACGGATAAGATAGTAGCAGAACATTGGCGCCACTGGAAGTACTAGATTGCAGAAACTTTTCCAGCAGCCTACGTACCATTTAAGTACGTTAATGATTCTTAATACGTTGTTTAAAAAAATGTTTTTTGCAAATTAAAATAAACGTATTAAAAAACGTTTATTTAATTAGAATATGTACTATTTTTATACGTATTTTAAACGTAAATAAAATGTTAGTGTTTCATGAACTATTTTTTAACGTATATGTCATACAATGCTGATACCAATTTTATATTATACTTACGTTCAATAAACGCATAATGTGTACCAACATGTGTTTATTAGGATGGTGCTTCGGAAGCGGTTACTCGTTCTAAAGCTGTATTCAGGGCTGTATCTAATTAATAACTTTTTCAAATCAAATCTTATATTAAATTTAATTGACAAGTGATACGACAGAATTCAATTCAGAATATTATTCAATTTATGATTGATTTAAGCAAATGTAATTAAAACTTTTGGATTGACGATTCTTCACTTAAGCAAAGTTAATCGAAAAAAATCGTTTATTGTTTAATTAATAGTTGACATGAGCGAATTAATCCAATTAAAGATAATTAAATTAATGATTCATTTAAGCCAAATTAATCAAAGATCACTTGATTGACGATTGATTTAAGCAAAATTAATCGAATGACCGATTAACGATTTAAAGAGATATATTTTTTTAGCATAGGTTTTAAAATATCAATCTTGTTTTTATTTTTAATATTTTAAATCTTTTAGAATAAAGAGTAAAGCATAAAAAAATGATCCAATAAAAAAATCTTCATTTCCTATCTTTACACAAAATAAAGACTCTGATTGGTTTATTTTTTTATGCCCTATGCGTAAAGCTTTATGCAAAAGTGTGTGCTCTCGGCTTTAAGGTAAAACGTAAGCAGTGTAAGCGAAATAACAATCACAATTACAACAGAGATTGTATAATGTTTCCTGCATCATGAACTTTTATATATTATATATTATTAGGGTTACGACACATAAAAAACTTACGCAATAAAACGTAAACAGTAAGCGAATTGACCAATCACAGTAAAGACTGTAAAGCTATATATTTCCGTAAAGCTATATGCTTAGTGATTTCCATTTGGTAAGCACTAAATTGACACAAATCGACACAAGCATCATTTTTTTCTTTTTTAACATTTAATGAGTAACAAAAATAGAAAGATAATCGACTTTTGTAACTACAAATGGAAAGCACCTAATGATATCCGGCTATCTGATTGGATAGTAAAAAGATGTCGGATAATGCTGGATATCGGATATTTCATGGATATCCAGTGCATTCCTATTTTATGTCATAATAAATTTTATACTTACGTTTGATAAACACATACCAACATGTATCAAATATGATAAAGAAAACAAAGATCGATCAAATTTTGGATGTTATAAATAATACATTATATATTTTTTTATTAAATCTTTTATTAAATTTATTCTAGATATAATTGCGAGCCGATAACTTTCGATTTCACATCACAATCATTCCGAAATGTTAATAATCCCCCCTAAATTAAATTTAAAAAAAAAAAGAAAGAAAGTAAGAAATTTATTGCGAAAAATATTACCTCAGCCAGGATTCAAATCTAGGACCTCTCAATTATCCAGGAAGAGTGCCTTAGTCAGCTCGACCACTGAGTCTTCGGAAATTTTCTTCGCAATAACTGATATGTATAGAGAGAATGCGTTGTATGGCTGCGTATGTATAAATTTTTCGCAATAAATTTCTTACTTTCTTTCTTTTTTTCTTTCTAATTTAATTTAGGGGGGATTATTAGCATTTAAGAATGATTGTGTTGAAACCGAAAGTTATCGGCTCGCAATAATATCTGGAATAAATTGATTTAATAAAAGAATATATAATGTATTATTTGTAACATCCAAAATTTGATCGATCTTGGCTTTCTTTATCGCATTTGATGTATTCACATACGGTCCTGCTTAAAATTCTTAATATGTTTATACCAATATGTGTTTGATGGAAACATTTTTGTATTAGTACAATATTTTCAACTCAAAAGAGAGACGTTGTCTTAGGGACACGTTCTTAATAGGTAATGTGATAATTACAGGACCCTATATAATTTTCTCTCTTTAGCTCTCTCTCTCTCTCTCTCTCTCTCTCTCTCTCTCTCTCTCTCAATATTATTTTTATTTTATATAATTATGCTAAGTGAATATTTATGCATATTTATGTGTTATTACATATAACAAGGATTTGAGAAATACGATTATATTCTTTGACTGCGAAAAACTTTCTCTACACACAATTACAATCATACAAGATAATATCATTGGCGGTATTATTTACTGTTTTTA